CCCTCCAGAATTTGCCTAAAGGAATTACCCACAGTTCATAGCGCTGTGACGTTACCAGTTGAAACCTGTACTAAAAAAGGTAAACAAACAAAACGATTTGAGATTGAACTCACTCCAAATTTAAGTTTGCCAGCAGCAGAGTCGGACTGTCCTAGACTGTAGATGTTTACAACAGTGATGAGAGGATGAAGAGGGACTATCCTTCTGGGCATGAGAAGAGAAAAAAACTCTGAGAGTGAACTGTAGGAACAGCAGTCAGGTTGTTCTCTCCTCTCAAAGTCTGATGTCAGCAGATAACAGTACTGTTGGTTGATGTGCAGCTGCAGTGCATCTCTCTGCGCTGCTCAAGGCTGGCAACAAAAAGGGGGGGCCTCACACAGACAATAGAAACAAAAATGTTTTATTTCAGGGGTTTTAAAAGTCCAGAAAATGTATGGGCCTGATGACACACCTCATTTTAAAATAAGACAACACAGTTACAACTCTGTTGATAAGTGGAGCTGACTCAGCAATATGGATGCACATCTCTCAGTAAATAATAAAATTCATGTATTAAAGGAAACCTGGTGCTAACCGCGTAAGATCAATGTGCACAGCAAAGTGTCTGGAAAGGACCTTAAGAGACGGTTGCATGATTTGGCAGAACAGCTGTTGTAGGTTACCTGCAACATTTTCATCCACCTCTTTTCTCTGCATAAATGAACGTTACCACCCACGAGGTGCACACAACTCTCAGCAGGCATGCAACACACCGGGACAAACTGACACTATATTTATACAAAGACAGGAATAATTTCATGTGTTACATTTGCTGAATTTACAAAAGGGGACCGATAATTACAATGTTGTAGTAAACAGCGTTTCACAAAGTTTATATAGATTCCCCTAACTCAACAACTCCATAAACTCTTTGATTTTTTTAAGCAGGTCTGGGGCGGATTAGCCGCTACCTCACGCAGAGTCAGGAGAACTGTTCTCTTTTCTTTATAAAGTATAAACCGGTCCGGTCTTGTCTTATCTTGGGCGCTCTACAGCAACACGTTGTCCAGGTGTCGCCATGATCGTTTATGATTATGAAGTTAGAGCACATCTGAAAGTGAACGGGATCATTGTGTAACATACTTAATTGCTACTCTCGACGCCATTAACAATTAATGACCAAACGTTACAGCTCATAACGTGAAGCAGCATGGCTTTAACGTGAAGCTAGTTATCTTACCAAGACCAGTCTTCATTATCCACAGAGCCACAACGTAACGTGCCTCCTCTTCAGATGCTCCAGTGTTGCCAGGAAAGGTCAGCTTTGCAGATGCTGCAGTTCAGAACCTTTTTGGCTGAGTGAAGAGTGAAATGCTCCTTCAATCTGGAGGTTTTGGGTTGTGAAGGTGTCGTTAGGGGCCGATGATGTCATGAACAAATCGATTCAGCAACAAACTTAAAAATCGATTTTTCGATTACGTCGATTAGTTGTTGCACCTCTAATTGTTATCTATAATTTACAGGGGCTAGTAGAGTAGATGATGGATCGTCAGCCAGTACTGGCACAGACGCAAGCCAGACCTCTTTAGCTAATCCCACAAACCCAGGTGAAACACAGGCATCAGATACAAGAAGCTCAGACCCTAATGGAACAGATGCTGCTCCACAAAATGACCAATCAGGTTGGCCCCCAGTCTTAACAGACTTCATGATGACTGAGTTAGTGCACAGAGGTCCAGTCAAACCAGCACTGGATTTTTCTAGAAGAGGTTTCCATTCAGGCTTATTACAGAGCGAGGGTTGTCGTGACAGCACTGTGGTGTCAGGTGTGACTGTGTAGCAATGGCAAATTGTTAACATGGCTCATGAGTCAGGTAGGAGGGCCCTGTAGCAGAATTTTGCTTAGGGCCCTAGGGAGGACAGGACCTGGGGTCTCATTTATAATGAGACCCCAGGTCCTGTGTGTAGAAAACTCACTAAAAATGTATGTGTGCCCAAAAGCCACAAATGGCATATGGCAAAAAATATTTAGACTTATAAAACCGTGCGTACGCACACTTGTTCCCTTTATAAATCACAATCATCTTGAAATGTGCCGCATGTAAGGGAGCCCCATGTCCGACCCTTCAAACGCCCATAGTTACCTATAAATGGTCAGTGAAACGCCCCTCATTAATATTAATACCTACTGACTGCAGGAAGAAAAGGAGGCAAAATCTGACAGAGAAGCTACAAAATTAAATTTAACTAAGTGTGACACTGGCGTTCCTTTTGATGAAGCTGAAGTTGTTTGGTGGGTAAAAAACGCACTTTCACGCAATGCTTGTGCACCGGAGGAAAGGGGGCACCGGAGCTCCACCCCTTTATAACGGATCTGATTTCCATAATGTGTTTTTACAAGCAGAGCATCATATCCACACACTGGCGCACAGCGTTTGGCTCAATCCTTCTGCCATGTGAGTCGCCGTTTCTCATTTCTCCTCTTTATGTGCGTATACGTGGTTCAGAGTTTACTTACAGGACCGCACATTTTCCCGTCAAGTTTGCTTTTTATAGATCACAACCTTTGCTTGGGAAGTGGCGTATGCACGTTTCCAGCCCTTTTTTTGTACGTACGCAACGTTTATAAATGAGACCCCTGCTCTGGACAGCAGCAATAGGATTGTCTGATGAAAGATCGTGGCAAATTCTGGTTAGTCAACTGAGAGTGGGCGCCTGTATCAGCTGATTAAGAGAAGCAGGAAGAAAGATCGAGACAGGCCGAGGCTGAATCCTAATCCTCACCCTAAATACTAAACCCTTAACCCTCACAGACTTTACTGACGTTACTTGATAAGTGCTTAAGTGCAAGAGGCTGCAAGGGCCCCAAATGCTATAATGGGTTGCACTTTGCAACATATGTTAAGTCACCTGGACTACGCCAAAACAGCATTTTTTTACTTTCTTTACAGCGGAGGCACAGAAGGGACCTGATTGAATATTTTCCAGGTTCTTGCTGAGTAAAGTGATTATGTGAAAGTTAGCTGTGGACAAGAGGTAATTTTCAAATAACTAATACAGTGTGGAGACTGGGATTCAGCCAGAGACAGACACATAGGCATTTCAATGAATGGTTATAAAGACAGGTCTTCATGATTGAACTTAAACTGAGCTTGATTTGATGTGAAACTACACAAAAAGCAATTTAAAGCACATTAAACATTTAAACCACCAGTATTTAACAGCCATAAATGTTGGGAGAAAGAAGAAAACTAAATAAAATAAAATACAATAAAAAAACAGCAGTGGGCTATGACAAGTGTTGGGGTAGTTACTCAAAAAAAGTAATGGAATACACATTACGAGTTACTTTAAAAAATAAACAAAAATCACAAATCATGCTTTTAGGGGAGCTGATGTCTTATTAAAGGCTGCTAAGCTCACCCTGGCTCCCCCGTAGTTCGCACCTTGGGCAGGAGTCTCTCAAATCAGACAACCTGTTCCTCCTCGAAGTCAGCACTAGATTGCCAGGCTAAACAGCCTCGCCACAGGCACACTAGAGAGTATCGCTGTCATTTCACGAAACATTATGAAGTAATACCTCCACCCCTTGAAAGACTTCTTTGGCATTCTGTATCCTCATGAACTGGCGCTAAAGTCAAAAGTTAGGAAAAGTGTTAACACGCACGAAAAAGGGACGTTTTATTTATTTTTCTCTCCTCCATTTATGTGGATAGTTCAAGAACCAGTTCGCAAGTAACGCGATTATTTTGTTATTAGTAACTCCTAAGGTGATTTCGTCAGCAAGTTTCACCAAACCACAACACAACTCAACGCACTTTCACTTTTGGTTGCACGTAAACAGGAAGAAAGTATGATGCACTTGGCGAAATAACAGGTGCATCTGACAATAAATTGCACTCCTCAACTAATCTGGCATGTCCAAGCACTTGTGCATCTCCGGACACATCGGCGGTCTTGTCAAGTTGTAAAGAAAAATACACACTTCGTTTTACTTTAGCAATCACCTGCTCTTCCACGTCTCTTGCAATGCGCCCAATGCGGTTAGACACAGTATCGTCTGACACTGGTATCAATGCTAGCTGCTCAGCATTTCTTTTCCCACACATAACTGAAACCGTTTCTTTAGCGCACGTTAAGAAAATATTAATATATTCAAGTAATTTTCATCGTATTTTCTAATTTTCTTTGTCATTTTGTTCTGTTCAGTTTTCTGCTGTGCATTTCTCCTCATTATTGTTAGCTCTCCGTTTCCAGTGTCACTTATTGTTGAGAAAAAATGTTAGCTAGCTACCTTAATGTTGCCTTTTTTTACTTCTTAACTTATTCTTCTTTGGTGTTTTAGCGGTTGTCATTACCGCCACCTACTGGATTAAACAGTGCAAAATATTTAGTGTCTGTTCACCCAAAGTGATTCTGTTCACAACTTTAGTCCATCTAGTGATATTTTTTTTGTGTCTATAGTAGCATTCTTGCAACCCCTCTGGGACCAGGTCGGGATCCCCACATCAGCGTTAGACTATCAAGTCAGCTGCAATCATCGTGAAACGTATAAACAATATAACTCAATACTGCGCCCTTGTGGTCAAAGTCTGTAAGACTGTAGCAAGTCCCTTAAAATCTGCTTCACATTTTAAATGAACTTGAACAATTTTACTCTCAAACGAAAACAACAAAGAACACATGTATTTACATTCACACAACTTTTAGAACTACATCAAACTTCAGTATAAAATCGCTTATGAATAGATTTACTACCCAAGCTACATAAACATGTCCTTGCCTGACATCTGTCTGCTACAGTATGTTTTTTGGACTAACCAAGTTTCTGTGAATCATATTTTGTATAAGAAGATTAGATGTGATCTTCTTACATAAAGGCCTTGATGTATCTGATGTACATGTTTTTAGTTTGGTTTGAACATTATTTGGTAACTTTATATGAAATAACTGTATGAATAACTTAATAACTTAATAATAACTAATGTATGAGGTCAGTGGACCAACTGGATAACATGATAAGAGAGCCCGCCTCTTAAGTTGACAGCACCCTTCCTGGAGCACGGTTTAACTACAGACACTGCAGAGCTGCAATCATTCGCACTATGATGAACTTCATCTTGACAACAGCTTTAATTATCTGCAGCATCAGTAAGTACTGCCAACACATTTCTCTCTACTTTGTTGCTTCTACAATTAAAACTTATTTTCTTATGTATAATTTATTCAGAGGTGTTGTTTACCTTCCTATAACACGCACATCTCTTGTTGTCTCTGCTGTTTGTTTCAGGCTGGATCTCTGTCTCAGTTTCTGAGTCTCAGACTGTGAAGGTCCAGCCTGGTCAAGAAGTCACACTGTCGACTACCAACATTTCCAAACATTCAGGCATGACAACCTGGTTCAGAGTGGTCAACAGAACCAAGGCCAGCTGTATCTCCACTATGGCCGCCTCTGACAGCAATCCATTATACTGTGATGGATTTAAAAATGGAAAATTTGAAATGAGCTCCAACACCTCCACTGTCTTTCTCAAAATTAAGACAGTGAATCTTTCTGACTCTGGGCTGTATTTGTTTGGATTTTACATAGAGGGACAGACAATTTTAAGTGTGATACATTTAAATGTTGAAGGTAAGATTATAAAATCCTGAGGTATCTGTTCTTCTGTTATGTCTTTCTATATCTGCAAGTTTAATAACTGACCTAAAAATATATGAGACTATTTAATCATTGTCAAAACAAATGTGATGAAAAAAATTTTAAGTAAAAAATCTAGATTAAATATATCTTCATTTTGTTAAAAGGCAGTGATGAATCTCATGATGACATTGACAAAAAGTCTACAAGTAAGATTCTTTCATTTGGCTATTTAATCATTGTCAAAAGAAGCGTGATAAAAAACATTTCAAATTAAAAATCAAGATTAAATATATCTTCATTTTGTTAAAAGGCAGTGATGAATCTCATGATGACGCTGACAGAAAGTCTACAAGTAAGATTCTCTTTAAGATTTCTTTCATTGTGCAGATAGTCGATAAAAACCGTACAGCTAACTAACATTTCAATTTAATGTTAGCATTTCTCAAGCCAATAAAGAGAAAATAGATTCTAATTATATTATCTTTCTTTTAGCAGAGTGTGATAAAATAACAAAGCTGGTGAGTGTGATCCTGGGCGGCCTGACTGTTTTCCTCATAATGGTCATCATCTGTCTGGTTGTTAAAAACAGGAACGTTCAGAAAGGTACTTTATTTTAAAACTCCTGTTTGTATCTCGTTTTTGATTTATTGTTTTTTTCCATCTTTAAAGTTTTGTCAATATGTTGGGAGAATACAAATGTAAATGTTTTTTAACTTAGATATATTCTTTGTCATTCAGCTGCCAGTGAAGAACAGAATCCACAACAGAATGCGGTGAATCCTTTGTTATAAATTACTTTTAATTGTTTTGTAATTTTCAGTTCTGTCTTCTATTTTGTTGTTTTGTCTCTAAATTTCAGCTTGGTCAGATAAGTGTAAATATTCTCTTTAACAGAACCTGGGCTCTGATGACCTGAACTACGCAGCAGTGAATTTCAGTGCAAAAGCAAGAAGAAGAGAAGTGGAGCCCAATGTTGTGTATTCTGCTACTAGATAGACTGAGGAAACAAGAAATGCTGTTCAGGATGTAACTGATGCTTTGTCATGTTAATCTGCAGTTGTGCTTTTGTGTGGGTGACGGACTAAAAAAAATGTTCAACCTTTAATCTTGTGCTAAGTTTTAATGCTTATCTCAATTTTAAAGACGTAATCAGAGTACATCCATACAGACAGTATTCTGAAAGTTAAGTATAAGTTAATATACTGTGTGTCTTTACTGGTATAGGGAAGAAAAATAGATTTAAAAAATAGATAAAAAACCATCAATCCAGTTTAACACCCTGGTTGTGTTTTTTTTTTTTTTACTGTACTGCATGCGTGGTGAAAAAACTGTTCTGTCTGTATCAGCCTAAAGAGAAGTCTCAACCACAGGAAGACCGGCCTTCAGCTTTTTCTCCAGTGTGTTTCTTTCACAATGTTTCCACAAAAGACACGCAAATAGTGCAGACAATAACAAAGCTCTTAGGTCTCATTTAGCTGGAACATATTTAATAATAATAATAATTATTATAATAATAATACATTTTATTATATATATCAAGTGAAAAAAAGGGCATTTTTTTAAACAAGACAAATATATTAACTCAGCAACATTTTTACTCTTCTACAAAATAATCAGTTCACACAGAGACCACGGTCTTCTTTAGTATTCAGTAGGTTTATTACAGGATACACAATGTGCATGTTTTCTATGCTACTAGTTTCAAGTATATATTTAGAATAAATGACATAGTTTCATTAATAATTTGTTTATTTTTCACAAGGTAATAAATCGTTTCAATTCTTTTGGTGTTATTGGAATACATAACACTTCACATAAATCTTCACACTAAACTGTGGCATTGGGCTGCAGGAATAATTAAAATAACTGTTATTTAAATACTTTACTGCTGAAAAAGGTAAACTTGCACCACTTAAGGCGCTGTAATGCTGGTCGAACACAACTGCCAGGGAGAAGAATTTTATCAACTTTGGTTGTGAGTGGCATCTAGGGTGGGTGGATTCTGTCCAGTGATGGTAGGCGAAGCCATCAGGCCATAAATTGCAAAGTGTCCATTAACGAAGTTTAATAATGAGGTGAATGACAGCTGAGATGGTTTTCAGAGGTCCACAGTATCCATGATGATGCAGTGTCCCCTGGATTTTGTTCCAAAGTGAACACACATGCAGCTGTAGTTGTTTTAAGGGCTCCAATGGAGCCATATGAAGGAACAAAAGGTTGCCTGTTTGTTGCTAATAAGGCCATTTGGATATAAAATAGAGTCATATGTAGAAAGTGATGCAGAAGTCATCACCCCATCTTACCTGAAACATCCAGATTTATGATCAGTAGTTTTATGGTCAAACTGTATCCTGTAATAATAGAATAGTTACCCAGTAATTAGAAAAAAATAATATAACAATAAGTTCTGAAGATCCTGAATTGTTGGAGGACTGCAGCAGTGGAGGAGTGAGTGAGAAACATGACTTGTTTGACAAGAAGAGACAGCAGAGTGTGGTCGTTTATTTTTATGCTGTCTACACCTAATGTTTTCTTTACCTTGTATCTAATCTATTTGTGTGATTATTTTGTGTCTGCAAGTGTTGTTTGACTGAATGTTACTCTTTTACAAATGTGGCAATATAACTGTGTGTTCTTGTAGTTATAAGAAAGACATGTCAACTTTAGAGAACATAAACAACGCTGGCTATAGGTCTCCAAGTATCTGCGTTTATGGTCTATAAGCTACTTATTATATAGTTTGACATTGTACAGCTACACCTAATGTGTGGAAATCTTTTACTGTTATTGGCGCTGTTATGCCACTATTTATTTTACCAGAAGTAAAAATTACTTTATGTTTTATTTCTACTGTGCCCTCAGGTCACCTGCAGATTTGGAGTCTTTCATATGCCAGGAGAAAAGCTGATGACACAATTCACTATGTTACATTTTTATTACTCCTGTGCATTTTACACAATATAAGTGATGAGTCAAAAAAATTAAACAGTATGAGGTTGTTTACTACTGAGGAGATGCCTAGAAGCAGAACCAGGAGAACCTGATGATCCCCGTCAACGTGGGGTTCTGTCAGGTGTCCCTGCCCCAACTGTACTGCTAGATACAGCAAAGCGTACAACAAAAAGTTATATGGTTGGTTTTGAAATGTGGTAATCATGTCAGAGAGGTGATTGTGATTTATTAAACCATCTCCACAGCAACAATACAATGCTACCAGTAAAGTCTACACTGTCTTCATAATCAGTCAAGATACCTCTGGACTTGTCTTTCTTCCTGTATATACTTATTTTTAATGATGTTTAAAAATGATCTATGTTATGTGATATAGGTTGTAGTTTTAGTAGTATATAATAAACAAGTGTTATACCACATTTGGATGTCATTATTGGAGACATAAGACATAAATGTATGTTTGATATGCTGCAAGTACAAAGAAAAGGCATTTATCATTTTCAATGTTTCATTTAAAAAAAGAATGAAAATATCCAGAACAGGGAAAAATATCCTTTGTATTTTCTTTAACCTCCTGGCAATAAAACAATGTAGAGGTATTCATTCACACAGTGGATGGAATTATTTGTGTGTCAGTCAGTGACATTACATCTTACACCCTGCTAGGATTAGACCTCTGTATTGTCCTAATGGATCAGGAGAACAGTTGAATATCTTCCATAAACAGCAGCTCAGTATCACCACTGTGTCTAAGTGCTCCACACTGCCACACTACAAACTGTCTGTATGCTGTATGACTGAACTGTCTGTTACTCTAGTCTGGAAGGTCAGCCTTGATAGTGAGTACTAACAGCCGGGTTAGTTGTTTATTTTCATAATAAAGTTAGATGTTTTCTTACACCTGATGTGAAGCGCTGTGCTCGTCCTCCAGCAATGTCGGCAACGCGCGTTCACGTGTTTTGGGGACGTGGCTTTGGAAGGAGCTCAGAAGGGAGCGGGTGTTAGTTTCTCTGTTGGATACTTTCAAAAAACAGCATTTTCTTGCTAGTTTCTCAAACTTACCTACCCTGCTTTTAAGATTATGCAGCTTATATTAAAAAACTCATTTTGAACTACATTTATTTGCTTCAGCTCTATCAGGATCATCCTCACACAGAAATATTTACATAATCTCCAACATAAATGTAATAGAAATGTTCCATCGGTGGGACTACATTTTAGCTTGATTTTAACAGTGATTACTGCAGTAGCCCACGCTAAATTTTTTAGTGCAACTGTTACCAACCTGACAGCTGCCTTCATGTCCTCAGAGTCAGTGTTATAAAGAAGGACAGTGCCTCTTATTTTATTCTGTGCCTGGTCTGGAGATAACTGTCTCTGTTCAAACATCGATGACAGATTGATCATACAAGTGGTCATGTTCATGGCTAATATTCATAGTCATACACGCCATAACAACACATCAAATCAACACACTGTTATATGTTTCGCCTGGTCATTTAGGCATTCACACTGTTGGCGATTGTCTTCCTGTCTGTGTCAGCTGCAGCTGCGCTAATTAAACTATGTCGGACATGTGTATTTATCTAGGATTACAGTTTCCTCTTGGTTTGTAAAATATGAAGGTCTGAAGACTTTTTCATTGGTTGTCTGCTGCTAACACCTCCTCTTTTATGTGAACATGGTCACGGCTAGATTGGGAAACACTGGGTTGACTTACTGAATTGATAACCAGCTACGTGTGCCCGCTTATCCTGATCCTGATAGTTAGGGTTAATGAAGCCAGATAATGAAAAGATATCCTGAGTATATTGAACTCGCTTCATGGTACAGGCCCCAGGGCTGCGTTCAGGCACAACAGTACCTGAAAGACCGTGCTGTGTATACAAGTTAGTGAAACTAAGTTATGTGAATCCATCTTTAATAAACATCTTGATGAGTCTTCATGTATCTGATGTACATGTTTTTTGTTTGGTTAGAACCTTTTTTGGTAACTTAATATGAAATAACTGTACGAATAACTTCTCTTGAAGCAGTAAAAACTCTGAAAGCATGTATGAGGTTGACCAACTGGATAACATGATAAGAGAGCCCGCCTCTTAAGTTGACAGCACCCTTCCTGGAGCACGGTTTAACTACAGACACTGCAGAGCTGCAGTCATTCGCACTATGATGAACTTCTTCTTGACAATAGCTTTAATTATCTGCAGCATCAGTAAGTACTGCCAACACATTTCTCTCTACTTTGTTGCTTCTACAATTAAAACTTATTTTCTTGTGTATAATTTATTCAGAGGTGTTGTTTACCTTCCTATAACACGCACATCTCTTGTTGTCTCTGCTGTTTGTTTCAGGCTGGATCTCTGTCTCAGTTTCTGAGTCTCAGACTGTGAAGGTCCAGCCTGGTCAAGAAGTCACACTGTCGACTACCAACATTTCCAAACATTCAGGCATGACAACCTGGTTCAGAGTGGTCAACAGAACCAAGGCCAGCTGTATCTCCGTTATGGCCGCCTCTGGCAGCAATCCTTTATACTGTGATGGATTTAAAAATGGAAAATTTGAAATGAGCTCCAACACCTCCACTGTCTTTCTCAAAATTAAGACAGTGAATCTTTCTGACTCTGGGCTGTATTTGTGTGGATTTTACATAGAGGGACAGACAATTTTAAGTGTGATACATTTAAATGTTGAAGGTAAGATTATAAAATCCTGTGGTATCTTCTGTTATGTCTTTCTATATTTGCAAGTTTAATAACTGACCTAAAACACATAGGTGGATATTTAATTAATGTCAAAATAAGCATAATAAAACCATTTAAAAGTAAAATCTAGATTAAATGTATCTTCATTTTGTTGAAAGGCAGTGATGAATCTCATGATGATGTTGACAGAAAGTCTACAAGTAAGATTCTTTCATTTGGCTATTTATTCATTGTCCAAAGAAGCGTGATAAAAAACATTTCAAATAAAAAATCAAGATTAAATATAGCTTCATTTTGTTAAAAGGCAGTGATGAATCTCATGATGACGCTGACAGAAAGTCTACAAGTAAGATTCTCTTTAAGATTTCTTTGTGCAGATAGTCGATAAAAACAGTACAGCTAACTTAAGATTTGTTAATTTAATGTTTGCATTTCTTAAGCTACTAAAGAGATACAGTCTAATTATATTATATTTCTTTTAGCAGAGTGTGATAGAATACCAACGCTGATGAGTGTGATCCTGGGCGGCCTGACTGTTTTCCTCATAATGGTCATCATCTGTCTGGTTGTTAAAAAGTTCAGGAACGTTCAGAAAGGTACTTTATTTTAAAACTCCTGTTTGTATCTCGTGTTTGGTTTATTGTTTTTTTCCATCTTTAAAGTTTTGTCAATATGTTGGGAGAATACAAATGTAAATGTTTTTTAACTTAGATATATTCTTTGTCATTCAGCTGCCAGTGAAGAACAGAATCCACAACAGAATGCGGTGAATTCTTTGTTATAAATTACTTTTAATTGTTTAGTCATTTTAAATTATGTCTTCTCATTTGTAGTTTTTCTCTAAATTTCAGCTTGGTCAGATA